AAAGAAACCAGGAGACAAGCAAAACATTGCATTTAACCTTTCTCTTAAAGAAAAGAAGACCAACAAAAGCACACTTGTGCTTTTTAAGACTTTTTTGAGGACCTGACATAATTTCTGTTTGCTTTGATCAAAACTAAAGAGCCACTGCCTTCTACTAAGGAAAAGGATACAGTGTGAGTGAAAGGTTACACACATGCAAACCTGCTAAAAGGCTTCAAAGGGAAGACAGCTATGTCAGCTAACACAGCTCATGAAAAAACTGTCTGGACAGCAGAGAAAAAATCTCTGGAGATTCTGGAGGACAACGGAAGTGGTATCCCCACAATGTAACTGCAGCATGTGTACACTCACTACGGCTTTTCTTTTCACACCTCTGTAAATGGGAATAACTCTTTTGATTGTTACGAATAAATCCTGGTATTTGCATTTTGTATCAAATCTTGTTGAACGTTGAGCTGTTTAATGTCCGCAGNTGAGCTCTCTTTCTCTTCCGGCAGCAGTGCAGGTAACAGGGCCTGGCCTGGCTCCACTGCAGGCCTGCGGGCCTGGCAGGGGGGCAGGGCCCCTGTCTGGGGACTGGCATGGCCGGCAGGGACAAGGGGTGGCCATCAACAGTGGCCAGGGAGACTTAGGCTGATTTAAGATCCAAGCTGCTTTTTTTCTCCTTTTTCCTTTTTCAGCATGACCGGGTTTTTGAGATATTGGCACAGCTTTAGCATTGTAGCCTTGTTTTTTCCTTTTCCTTGTATAAAATCTTAACTTTTTCAATGCTCAAGTAAACTTGCAGACTTTTTACCTTTTTCTGGAGTGAGAAGGGAAAAAGGAAAATACTCCGAAGTCAGTGAAGCAAGAGCTAAGTTATTTTAAATAGAAAGAGAATGAGGAAATGCTGTGAAGATGGCTGAAAAATGCTTTTGTACATTGTAAAAATGAACTGATGTTACATTGAATAGTCTCATAAACCATGGAAAAGAAAACTTAGGAAAATTAGAGTGTTCTATTTAATGGATCATGTGATTAAAAGTACCTGTGTTGAGAATCTTTGCCCCGAGGAAAGAAGGGGATCTCAGTTTTCTGAAGATAAAGCATGAACAGAGAGAAAAGAAATAAAGAAAATTTTTACTTTAGAACAATTTATTCTTAAAAATAATACCCCATGAGTTTAACATGGCCCATAGGCACAGCTTTGGGAAAGCTGTGAAGATGAGGGGAGCTTCACGACTGTGCAAAGTTTCTGGGCGAATGCAAATTGTGAAAATAAAACCACGAGAGGACTGTTTTCTTCCTCCTTGTGGAGAAATCCCTATAGCCTGACGAGAAGAAACTTCTCTCTCCAAAGTGAACTGAAAAAAAAAACCTATTTAAATTGGGAACTGACTGAAGTAGGTTTTGTATGTTTGTTTTGTTGTTTTGAAAGTTGGGAGAGAAAAAAAAGGGGTGCTCTAAAAATCTTATTCTGATTTTATTTTTTTTCCTTCTTTGTGTAGTTAATAAATTTCCTTTTATACCCTTTTAAGTTTTAAGCCTGCCTTGCTTCTGCTCCTAGTCTGTCTCACAACAAAAAATAAATATATTTAAATTGGCAAATCAAAACTATAACATTATTTAGTGCATTAGCCAGAAAAATTCAAATTAAACCAAAACATTTTTTGGAAAAATTAAATTAAACCAAAACAACCTTGTTAGTAAAAATTTTTTGAGCAGGCACCCCTATGAAATGTAAATGTTATTTTAGAATTATACACATGTACTACAACACCAATATATAATGTACATTATAAAACATACACAAAAGTAGAAATTAAAAAAGGATGAGATAAATGGCAAGAAACCAGGAAAATGCTGTGGAAATATAGGAGTAGGATGAGGAGAGGATGGAGTCTGTCCTCCTGAGCTTTCTGGAATATCTATGCAGGAGTGTTATGAGAGGAATTTCCACATACTCAGTATTTTTGATAGCTTAGCTCTGTCTCAGAAAAGAGAGATGTGGGAAGATTAAGACCCTACATGATGCCCTAAGTGAATCACTATCACATAAAAACACCCCAGACTACTGACAAATATGCCTTCTGCTGCTCCACTCGGATAATTACAGATCACTTTATTATTCACAACAATGCTTTAGATTATCTTTGCAAATCTTTTGCCCAGATAAGGAAGTGTCACATGTGGAATATGGCAACATGCAGTGAGACTTCCCAAGTCTGCTTAGAGCATTCAAGAAATATAGAGAAAATTCAGTAGAGCAGAGTTGGTCCCCATTGGAAAGGGTTACTATTTAATTTTTTAAATTTTATTTTCGTGATTAAGGCTGTTATTCTAAAGGGAGATAACATAGTGAGGAACCACAAACACAGGAATACACAGACATAAACTTTTCTTTATGATGTCTTTAAGCTTTTTAAAGTTACTCACTTTTTTGTTTGCTCTGAGATGGAGAGGGAAGGAGTGATTTTCAAGGAGTATGAAGTAGTGTGCAATGGAGGGAAGAGAAGTTTGTGAAGTTTGTGTCTGATTTCTAAAGCTTGTAACTGTTTGTAAGCTGCTATTTTCTAACTGCAGAGTAAAATAACACATAGATCCACCTTTGCAAGAGAAGTAGTGTAGAATTGACTGTAGGGTTCAGCTGGTGTCCTGCTCTAGTAATAATGGAAAGAAATTGCCTCTATTTCCCAGTGGAAAAAAAACACAAAACCCAACAAAACTAAAACACATTCCTTGAAGCAGTAAGAAAAGATCACAGAAAATTCACCTCTGCACTGAACTCATCAAACATTATTTTTGTAAAGTGTAAGCTACTTGGGCACAAGTCTTGGCTGAAAACTCAGTATATTCTTTGTACTCTTCAGATGGTGAGAGGATGATTTTAGCCTGTGCTTTCTTGCAAGTTTACACTTGATGTCGCTTGCATACAAATTGCAATGTCCTCAACACAACCTGATTTTAAGAGTTTTAGGAGTTTGCTTCTGTGTTTCCTTCTCCCACATTTGCCAGGGAAGAAATAAGCTAGCACCTAATCCATACTGTAACTAACCACTGACAAGTCTCTCATAAAGAAAAAGACTTGCAGCACCAGCATTTACTCACTTTAATGACCAGGGAAGAGACTTTTATATTTCAGTAAAAATAAGAATTGTGTTTTAGACAATCAGGTGCAGGAGATTACTTCTAGAATAACAACGAGGCACTTTTCAAATCTATGGAGTTTTTTTTTACTCTGATTCATGAGTGAACTAATTAAACAGAGTCACTGCTGCTTACTTAGAAGAAGATATAATGATTTCTAGGGTGAATGTCTACCACCCACTTTGAGATGGCAGGAAGATGATTTTTAGCCTGTTATTAGTTACAAATTCACATTTACATCTGTGGCATACAAATAAATAATCTTAGCTAGGGTATTTTTATACACCTTGATCTTTTTTCAGAGTTTGTGATGGCTGAATTGTACTGACTAAGTTAATGCTTACTCATTCCATAAAAATAGTCAGCTAGAGTCCACTAGGAAGGCACTAGATAGGAAGGCAGTTGTATATAAGTGGGTACTTTTTAGATATCAGCATATCTATACATGAGCCAGTGCCCACCTAAATACCCTTCCATCCAGTCATTTTACAGCAGCTTCTTCTTTTCTAGGGAGTCTACCAGGCACCTGCTGCACAGGAGCACATAACCTGAGCACTGGGAGAGTGAATCTGAGTGCATCCAGAGTGCACTGGAGGGACTAACTCTCTGTGCATACAATTTGGAGTTGCTCTTTGCATGTGGAGACATGTACAGATGCAATCTGTCTGCCCGGGGATAGAGCATGCACCAGGAGGCGATTTCCTCAAAGCTTTGAGAATCCTGGAAGCCTGCCTGGTCTGTGGACATGCTGGTGGGAGGGAGAGGAAGGCGAAAATGAATTTATTTTTAGAAGAGAGGAAGGATGATGAAGACCAATAGTGCAGGTTGCAAATTAGTATGCACTGAAAAAGCTGTAATGAATTCAGTAGTTATAAAAATGAGAATTTCTGTTTGATTTATGCAACGCTGAAAGAGCTGTCTGTAAGGTAAGTCACAGCTGGAGCAATATTGATACTGCAAATGGAAGATGAAGGAAATCAGAGCTCGTTAAGACAAGTGAGTGCTGTATATAAAAGAACAGCTCAAGAGCCAGGCAGGCTGTGCAGCCAGAAGGAGAAGGAACAAACCAATGCTCTGGAGTCCAGGACTGTGGCTGATAGGAAGCCTGTGTAGGGGATGGGAGCATCAAGTCAAGTTTCAAATGGCAGAAGAATAGACAACACTTTGGAAAACTGTTCTCAAAGTTTCTAATACATTCCTAAAGTTGGATGTGGAGAGTCCAGATCTAGGGGAATTGGCGGGGCTGCAGGGAAGAGGGGGGCACTGGCAGGGCAGCCAAGAACCTGGGACTGATAAAGAACTACCAGCTCCAGGGCAGAATGGACAGAGGAGTTTTAAATGTTTCTCCCTATATATATTCATATGAGAGAATTACTTTCAAACAGAAAACAACAATCATAAACAGTCAAGTAAAATAAAAGCCTCCAAGCCTCAGGAAAGTCAGACTTGCCCTGACAAGCAATTTATACAAAATGTTTTGAATATAGATAAAGATTGGGGCACCTGAATTCACGTTCTCAGACTTCTTATAAGCTGGTATAATCTCAAATTTCTTCAAACTACCAATATACTTTCCTTAAAAAAACAAACAAACAAAAAGTTTAGAATCTCAAAAACTGCCTTCTCTCTACCAAAAGGAAAGCAAAACCTGAAGCCGGAAATGCAAAATGGAGATAGAATCAGTAAAACTAAACCTGATTTTTAAAAAAGCCACACACATTTATTCTGAAGGCAGGGTTTTAACTAATCAGATCTCTTGTTGCTTGTTCCTTGCCTATGCAGTTGGTTAAAAGAGTATAAATTACCTCCCACAAAACCACCCCCCCCCCCTTGTCTCCTCCTCCCCCCTCACTGATAAAATGTTTTTAAAGACCTGGGAGGAAAGGGTAGGGGAAGATCAGAGCCTCCCTCAGAGAGAGGATGAGGACAGCAGGGCCAGAAATGGAACTCCCCCAACTGTCATCCACGGCTACAGTCACCTTCAACTATGACTACTACTATGATGACCAGTGCCAGTACCAGCACCTGCAACATATGTCTACTTTCCTCCCTATCCTTTATAGTGCCGTCTTCCTGGTGGGCATTGTTGGCAACTCAATCTTGATAGCAGCCTTGGTCTTCAAGCGACGGGTCCAGAGGCTGATTGACATCTTTATCATCAACCTCGCTGCATCTGACTTCATCTTCCTCATCACACTGCCTTTCTGGGTGGACATGGAGGTGTCGGACGAGAGCTGGAGGGTAGGATCTTTCCTCTGCAAAGCTAGTTCCTATGTCATCTCAGTCAATATGTACTGCAGCATCCTGCTCCTCACCTGTATGAGTGTTGACCGCTACCTCGCTATCCTGCACCCCTCTATCGCACGACGGATCAGGACAAGATCCTATTCCAGAGCACTCTGCATCTGTGTCTGGTTACTATCCTGCTGCTTAGGGATGCCAACTCTTTTGTCCAGAGAACTGAAGAAGCAATATGGAAAGACTTACTGCACAGACAAAGCCGTGACAGAAGTCAAACAGATCATGTCACTGGTGCTTTTAATCCTGGCCTTCTTCTTCCCACTGTTGAGTATCTTAACCTTCTACTGCTCCATCACCAAGAGACTCTGTGTGCACTATCAGAAGGCTGGGAAACATGATAAGAAACTGAGAAAATCCATCAAGATCGTCTTCATTGTAGTGGCAGCTTTTGTTGTCTCCTGGGTCCCTTACAATCTTTTCAAGCTTATGGCCATCCTTTTGCGACTCCTAAAGCAGCCTGACTGTTTCTCTGGCAGGGTTGCCCAGCTGGGCATAAAGGTGAGCAGCCCTTTTGCTTTTGCCAATAGCTGTGCCAACCCTTTCATTTACTTTTGCTTTGACAACTACATCCGCAGAGCCATGCTCCAGTGCCTGTGCCCATGGGTGAAAATCAACAGCAACAGCTCTGATACCCTGGACACCCACCTGAGCCATTCCTTATCCAATTTTGTGGCAGGGGAGTATGCCACCAGGAAGAGGAAGCGCTCTGTGTCCCTCTGACTGTGAGTTGGGACTGCGGAGGAAGGAACTTCTTCCCCCAAAAATAGCAGGAAAAGAAAAAGAGAAATAAGCAACAGAGATAGGTGCAACTGTAATGCAACCAGTGCTTCAGGTGGGAGGGATGTTGCTTCCTTCTAAATGCAGATAGGAATAGGACTAGGAAACTTTAACCACAGAATTACTTCACAATGATTGATGTGACAATACATGGTGTAAATGTGAAACCATCATACCAAGAAACAGCTACAAATGCTTATGGTGGAACCCCAGTACAAGTGCTGCAAACTACAAAAAAGAACCATGTGATTCAGCCAAGGCCTCTCCGAGACAAGCTTTGAACTTATGTGTATATAGGTTTTTATTCTGTGCAAGAAAAGCAACCTGAGTGTTTCTTTTTGGTTCCTAGCTTTCCCACAAATAATTCGCAATGTCCTCAAACCGACCTGATCAATTCTGGGTTTTTGGAGGTTTTTTGAACTTAGAAATCCATTATTTTAATGAATTTGTGTGTTACCAGTTCTCATAACTCGAGTCTTGTGCATTTTAAGTCTCAGCTTATGACAGCATTAAATCTTTAGTTTTAATCGTAATAATTAAAGTGTTTAGCCCCTCAGATTTCAGAAAAAAAACCCAGAACTTGAAGGCAAAGAAACCAGGAGACAAGCAAAACATTGCATTTAACCTTTCTCTTAAAGAAAAGAAGACCAACAAAAGCACACTTGTGCTTTTTAAGACTTTTTTGAGGACCTGACATAATTTCTGTTTGCTTTGATCAAAACTAAAGAGCCACTGCCTTCTACTAAGGAAAAGGATACAGTGTGAGTGAAAGGTTACACACATGCAAACCTGCTAAAAGGCTTCAAAGGGAAGACAGCTATGTCAGCTAACACAGCTCATGAAAAAACTGTCTGGACAGCAGAGAAAAAATCTCTGGAGATTCTGGAGGACAACGGAAGTGGTATCCCCACAATGTAACTGCAGCATGTGTACACTCACTACGGCTTTATTTTCTAAACGTCTGCAAATGGGAATAACTCTTTTGATTGTTACGAATAAATCCTGGTATTTGCATTTTGTATCAAATCTTGTTGAACGTTGAGCTGTTTAATGTCCGCAGAGAAACAAGAGCAGACCTCACACAAGGGCAGAGCAAGCCTAGAAACCAAGGAATGCACGTCTTTCCCAGCTCCCAGCCAGTTCCACAGTGGACCACCGGCTAGCAGAGCAGGTGGAGAGCTGGCTCTGCAGGCTCAGGGGAGGCAGAAGTGTCTTTCAGCAATTGGTGGTGGCAGAGTGCTCTCTGGCACACAGTGGGATAATGGGATACACACCTGAGCTAAAACGGGAACACACACGAGCTTTTTGCTTCTCCCCTTCCTTCACTGCATGTGTTTCTTTCCTCACTCACTACTTCTAAAAGATTTTGGTTTTCTTCCTCCACTTGACAGACTTTCCCTCCCACCCCCATCAAACTGCCAAGCTCCTTTTTCAGGCTTACAGCTGCATGAAAAGCATCAACTGTTCCCAGACCTGCCAGTGTTTGAGAATGAGGCTAGTGTTAGTTCCAATTTTAAAGTTATAAAGTTTTACATTTATTTGCAGTGACCCTCAGAAACTGCTGTCTCTTCTCAATCTCTTACCTTCTTTCTACCTTTATAAGTGTATAACAAGAGAAGCTTTATTTTAGAAAAATAAGCCTAAGATTTGTATTTCGACTAAGATATGATTTTTATTTTAGAAAAAAATCAATAATTCAGACTTGTTTATTATTCCCTCAATCCCTGCCCAAAGCACTAAAATACTTTGGAATACATCAAATCTATAAGATTTCTAATAATTCCAGTTAGAGCTGCTAATTTCTTTCTTTCATCTTTAATACTTCAAAACACCAGATCAAATTGGAAAAATTACTGAGGAACTCCACTGAGATCTCATGCCTAAAGCTTTAGTTTCTGGAAAATAACAAATAAACTTGATAAATATTGCCAGGCTTGAGGAGAATCGGGTATAAATGCCACAGGAAATGCTCCATATGAGCAAAGAAATAAAATATACAAGAGGCAACTAATTCAGCAAAGGAAAACTCACCAGAATCTTTCAGACTTTCATCCAAATTAGTGTAACTCATTTTTTTGTGAACTGAAGATCATTTGACACTTTCATGACATGATAAATATTATTTTCAATTTTTTTTTTAAGAAAAGACAACCTAAGATTGAACAGCTTTACTTCAGGAGCTTTAAATATTCCATGTTAAAATTTATTATTTTTTTGTTGGCACTAACATTTCTTAGAATGATACCAAAATTATTGTGATTGAAGGTATTTAACGTGGTAGTCTTGAATAATGTAACAGATTGCCTATTTTATCTATGTTAAAAAAAATGAATGACAGTAAATTGGTTTGCTGTGCAAAATGGAAATAGTGCAATTCTGATATTACCCCTGCCGAAGACCTTGGCAAGTAATTTGGATTGGGTTTTTTTCCTTACAACATTTATTATTTTAAAACAAGTCCAGTATGACTGCAGCTAATAAATATGGTTTGGCTCTTTGTAATCTAACTTCCGCTTTCATTGTCATGAAAAAGTAGCAAAGCATTACTAGAAAATCTGTAAGTGAGTCTGGATGGGAACATTCATCTTTCCATCCTACAAATCTTTTCATTATTTCAGAGATGCTTTTATATCTCCTTAGAATTAAATCAAGATCTTTTGAAGTTTTTAATAAAAACAACTATACTACCAGTACCACCCCCAGTCTAGAGGCTGGTGCACTGTCTTGAGGTGTGTATAATCAAAATTAAAGTGCCTTTGCTTCTTGATATAAATCAGGATCCTGTTAGATACATCTCTTAGTCTCCATTTTGGCTTGTACGAATCAGCAGCTTTCAGAAATTAAGTTTTTCATCTCAACACAAAGAAAAATTGTGTCCAGACCTGATGCTTGCTTAAATAGGCAAAGAATTTTTGCAACCTTAATTTCAGCAGCAGATGTAGTAACACTGACAACTGCTCTGCAGCTAAATGGAACTTAGAGCTGCGGGGGACTGAGGAGACAGTCACACATGGAACAGCCTCAGACCCGAGATGAGCAGGGCAAACTTGCAGCCCCCAAAACAAGAAAGGTGGTGTAGTCACTGTGTGGATTGACCCTCCACAAGTACTGCAGTGAAGATTGGGTCTTGGAAGTCAAGAGGAGAACTTCCACTGACTTAGATGCATCCAGATTTCATCTGCAGCTCCTCCACACTGGTGGGATGAAAAGCCACTCGCAGCATGTCTGTGCCTCAGGTTTCTAATAGAGCGGACTACAAAATGAACATTTCCTAACTTTGCAACGATGTTGCAATTATATATTTGTCTACTGCTTCACAGGAACAGTAAGGTCGTTGACAAAAGAAGGTTGGAGGTTTTTCCTCAGGTGCTTGCAGGGCTATTGTACAAAGAGATATCAGCTGGTGAGTGGGGACACTTACACATACTCCTAACAGATACACTGTTACTACTGGAATACGAAGTTGTTAGCCCTGTAGGATCACGTACATTTGTGAGGTCAGGAAGAACTTGTGAGTAGATTTGCAAGCTGTGAGCACAAATCATCACATGTCCCAAAATGCCTGACTGAAACACTTGGACTCAATGCTCTTAAAGGTCTTTCCCAATCAAAATGATTCTGTGATTCTTCTCTGGCTGAAAAGGCTTCACCCAGTTAAGGAGCACATTTCATGGCAAGTGAAGAACAGAAAGCAGTGACCACAATCCTGAAATGGAAAATCCATCACCTCAGGCTATTTACCAAATATGTCTGCATATTGTCCACGAAAGAGATCAGTTCATGAATAGGAGCAAAGAAAGAGCTACCTAAATCCACTACGGGTGGAAGCAGGCTCTGGCCATGATTTAAATGGCTTCACAAGTAACTACAATGCTACCAAATGTCTCACACAGAGGTGGCTGGGAACCCCTAGAACATCAGAAAGAGCCAAGTTATCTCATTTAACATTTTAATATTATACCACAAAGTCTGCAATTAGTGCACTCTAGGTCTCAATAACAACCCAAGCAGGCTGCTCAGTTTGCAGGTGCAGGTGTTCAGTACACTGCTGGAGTCTTGCTGCAAGTGACAGGAGGTTTTGGAATAGTCCAGTCTCACTAAATGACAGAGGGGTTTTGGCCCCAAGCATCTGGGCAGCTAAGACCTGAGTTCATAATGAAGTAAAAGAATGCAAAATATGGGAGATGAGAAAGCAAGTCGATTGGAAAACAACAGAGTTCAAGAAGGGCAGTCTTCCACCTCTGAGCTGATGAAAAATTCATGCCAAAGGCCAGGCTGCTTGTGTTGATACTTTTTTAAAATACGAGTTGAAACATAGGGTTTTTTTCCCAGTTCACCTCACCTATGTTTCTGTAACAGATTGCAGCAGCTTTGGAAATTGAGCCCGCTTGTTATGATTTGAGAGCACTCAACATTATCAATATTAATCATCTAAATAATGCTTTGTGACCAAAATACATATTTTCAAACTTCAAAACAGTTTTATTATTAGTAAGAGACCACATTCTAAGTCAGAATCTCCCTCTAAGTCTAGTCAGTAAACATATATCTGCTGTTTATTTCTCACATTTTCTAGAGTACATGGGATTTTACAAGAGGCATCTCAGCAACAGATCTCAAAAAAGAAAAGGCAAATGTTTCTCTGAAAATTTGGACTGCATTTAGCTGCTTTGGGGTCTAGAGTAGGTCACAGGGAAGGTAAGGTGCAAATCCTATCTCTGAGAAAATGCTTCTCACAAGGTGAATTCAGAGGCTTTCCTTTGTATTAGTTCAGTCCCTTTGCAAAGCACTGATGTCCAGAAAAGGTGAATACTCACTTTCTAAACAGCAGATCCTTCAAAAGTGAAATGGATTCAAGAATACGAGGAATCAACTGGATGCATCCAAAAGTTACTAGTCAATTCTGGGAAAAAAACCAACGAACACTGTCTTTTGCTGTGCAATGGAGTCCCTAAAATTCAATGCCCTCTTTCTTCCTACATTTATAAAACTAGTTAATACAAATATAAAAGAACAGCTGGTTCTCAAAGGATGCACTTTCTTTAACCCTCAATTTGAGGCAAAGTAAACCAGCCTGTGAAATTGTGTGGCATCTGCTCAGAGAATGAAACTTAGTCAGTGGTTTTAAAATTGATCCAAATTTTCAGTCTAGCTTTAAAACTGTTACACAAAACATCCAAAAAGTTAGACTTGAAATGCAAATAGCAGCTTTTGCACTGAGAAACACCATGTCTAAAAAAATACAGCACAAATATTTGCCACATATAGTACCATGCACCTGACTTGACTATACACATTACTTCTCTCTATGTACTGCCTAAATAACTGCATGACTACAGCCACCATTTCCCCTGTCACCCACTCTTCACCCCCCCTCCTCTGGCAACCATAGAAACTTCTGCCCATGCCTCACACAGAGAAAACATGCAAAGACAGAGAGAAAAGAAACAGGTGCATATTTGGTTTTGCCTGTGCTTGAACCTGTGAGAGCAACCCACCATGAGTACAATCACACCACTTAAAAGGTGTTGCAAGTAAGAGTAGATGCTTGGGAGCTTTCAAGAAACACATATATGTACATGAACTTCTGCTCTCCCCGTAACATCAAGACACTATGGATAGAGGGGTGCTGAGAAGCAGAGTGCAACAAATACACTGAAAAGCACAGTGGCATGCCCAAAACCTCAGCTCTAGATAAGGTGTCAGATATTATGAAATCTAGTCAAAGAACATGGTACTTCCGACCACTTAGGAATGCACTCAAGTAATTGAAAAACTTTTTCAGATATCTCATCAAAAGAGAGAAGGCTTTGGAAAAGTCTAGAGGAAGAGAAGAGAAGAGAAGAGAAGAGAAGAGAAGAGAAGAGAAGAGAAGAGAAGAGAAGAGAAGA